TATTAAGAAACTTTATTCTAAATGAGCGAAAAATTTTGAGCATTTTTAAGGAAATCTTTTTTACATACTTTTAAAAAAATTGCCTTTATTTCAAACTTCATTCAAGTTTTGCAAAAACTACTCATATTTTCAAAATATTGTATATTGTATTATTAAAATTTCTACTTTTCAAGAACAGATTTCTTTCAGAAAGAAATGTCTATATTCAAAAATGTTGGAGCACAGGGTTGAAAAAATCTTTTGCAATATTTGAAATTTTAGTTTTTTGTAAAAATTGAGCCTGCACCATTTTTAGAAGCTCCCTCTGAGCAATAAATTAAAAGAAAAAAATAGATCCATTTTTGAAAAAATCTTTAAAAATGTTTTTGGGGCTTTATGCAAAAGCACTCCCAAAAAATGAATAGGGAATGTAAATTTTTGGTGAGAATTCTATATACAGTTGTCCTCTAGTGTTGTTCTGAGACAGATAGATGGACAGATACACAAGACTGTGACAGACATAGAATGGTGAACATAAATTTTTTGGTATGTAGGAGCCTCAAAACATGGATTCTAATGGCACTACATATTCAAGAAAGTTATTTACTATGTATATGATCGCTTGCTATCAGGACCCATAAAACAAGTTTTTCTGTTGAAAAACAGCACTTTGTGCTGCAACATTGCAATACTGTCTACATACCATTTAAGTAATATACAAGAAAGTAAAATTTTAAGTGTCTGGTAATTTTTTCCAATTTTTTTCTTCTTCTGAATGACCATTTTTCCGAGTAGAATTTTTCTGATTCTGATTTTCCATTTTTCCGAAGTCTTATATTTTGTAACTAATATTTCCAAAACTAAATAGTTCAAAATTAAAGAATGAAATAATAAAAATAAGTATAAGAGTTGTGTTTTATTTGACATGCATACATATAAATCAGATAAGACATTTTACAAACAAAAATTTATTGTAAAGTTACTTCAGTATCAAACAGTTCTTTTTGAATTTCAACTAGGGCTGTATGAAATAAAGGGTGATGTTTCTCAAATATACTTGTAATTTGAAACCTGTGATGTAAGGCCTCACTTACATTGGTGGTTCAGTGATAATGTTTCGTTGTGGCTTTGTATTGATTCCAGTTACTTTTTTTTATTAAAATTTATTTTATTCCCCATCTACCAGAAGTTATAATTTTTGCATCTACATTCAAATCCAAGGGCATTTCACTGGAAATACATGATTGTAATTGCAATTAATTGATATCGTGACATTTGTGGGACAATGACCTCATCTTGATTGGGCTATTCCCAGTTTCTCTCGATTCAGTTAAATTTGTTTAATTTTTTCTTCACAGCATTTGTAGCTTTTATCCTTTTTTTTAATTACTCTGTTTTTTGTTGTTTTTTACACAAATAATAAACTTTAAAAGTAACAATAATTCTTGTGTATTCAAAAATTATATTGCATACCTCCCCACATATCAGCAAACTCGGACCACATGTGCATCCTGCTTCTGCAAGTGCAAGTACCTTTTGTGGAAGGGAAGCATTTTAGCTGAATCCCGATTTTGATCTCCCAAGGTTGTTAGCCCTGGGGGTATGGACAATGAAATGATGATGATAGTGAGGGATGAAAGGATGGCACACACATTTAGATGTACCTAAATATGTACTGATGTACCATGCCTGAGGTGGGACTCCAACCTGCTGTCTTCTGGTATGAGACTGCTATGGCACTACTGCCCTAATGATCTTGGCCGTCTGACCGGCTTGTATTGCATTATTGAAGAGTATATAATTTTCAGCTTGCTGTATTTTGAAAAAGTAGGGTATAACCCCATATTTCAAAAAACAATCTGTTGTCCATCATTAGATCATAGGAATAATGTGTAACCATGGTTAATATAGTAATAATGGAGAGAAGAAGAGAGTTTGTCTTAGTCATATGTTTGAAAGTGAAAGAGGTAAAATCAATACTGCTTTTTTGTGTCTTGTACTAGGCAACATCAATTTTAATTTTGGAAGAGATATATATATATATATATATATATATATATACATATATATATATATATATATATATATTTTGCTGAAAACATTATTCATTCATAGCCTTGTGATCATTCTGTAGTGAATTTTGTAGAATGTATGTTCATTAATAGCATTTATTAAGAACACCAAGGAAAGAAATGTAATTACATGGATATAAAAACAATATTTAAAGATTAGAAACTATTGTGAGTATAAAAGTCTGTCTAATGACATAAGCTACTTTCTATCTGTATTTGTAGATTGCAGGATTTATGTGTGGATCTAATCAGTCTCAATCTAGTGCACAAAAGCTTCTGGATCATAAAGGCTACAAAGAATAATAATTTTGCTTTCTCTTCACACAAAGGTCACGCTTAAGTGTATTGCACCCCAATATTGAATTACCTGCTCTCTTTTGACGTAATGTTATTGAATTCTGTAATTACATTAATCCTTTTAAAGTTCATTAAGTGCATAATCTGGATTTCTCTGGTACTTCTTTTATTTCCTTTGGTATTCTTTCATTTTTTCTATGAAGTAAAGTTTTCTGTTTTTTTCTAATTTTGAATCTTGTCTGTTCTTTTTAATTCTCAAAATGTACCTTAAAAACTTCGTCAGGGCTACTTCCACTTTCCTGATTTCCAATGTGCTCATTATCTATATTTCTGAAGCATTCTGTAATGTTGGGTTTATTTATTTTTATTTATTGAATGTCAAGAAACCGTTAAAAAATGTGTGTATTCTACAAGGGAGAAGTGCATTGAATGCAATTAATCTATATATAGTGAATGGAGAAATGCAATGCTGTCTTTGATGTGATATTATGAATTCTCATAATTGTTACCTTTCTCATGTGCCTAGAATGTCTCTATTATTCCTTTATTTCTATTATGGAAATATTTCTTCAAAATACAATTACAATTTATTGTAACATTACAATTTTAAAGCAAACTTTGTTATTAATAATAATTTTCTATTTATTGTCTTTTTTTTCCATGAAGTTTTTCTTAATTTTTAGTGTTTCTGTATCCTTATTGTAAGCATACACAGTACATCGTTATAATATCTAGATGCTGGTTCTTGACACATATTTCTTACCTCTTGTCTATTGCGAGACATTCTCAGGAAGTTTAAAACAAAAATGTACATTAAAGTGTGTTTCTCTGCATAAATGCACAAGGTTGATAATTCGATTGCACCCACACACTGTTGTGTACACTATCCTTAATTTATATATGCTTATAAAAACAAAATTTAACACTGTTGAACTCATAAATAAAAGCAACAATAGGTTTTGATAATCAAGTTTACTGGGTATTAATGTTGAGTTTTCTTAAAAAAATTGTATGTTTTATAATTTTTTAAAGTTGAAACCAAAACCAAAACAAGAAATCATTGTGTGATAGTGCAGGGTTAATGATGATGCACTATAAATTTTTAAGCCTTCTGTGTCTGATAGAAAGTTAAAGTGCACTAAGTTTAGGGCACATAGGACACTAAATCTGGCCTGTATTTGTGACTTTTTTGTTTTGTTTTTGAAACATATCCAAAGAAATGAAAGATTATTCATTCTGAGGTGCCCCACTTGCATTTATTGATGCACATAAATATGTTTGTTTAGAAGTGCTTGCCCTATTGACTTATCTATTTGCACTCCCAATATTAATTATTTGTTGTTTCGATTTTTAGATTACTTCTACTGCAGTAGCTCTACCATCGAAACAGTTATTCCCTCTCACTAATGCCATTTCAGGTGAGTTTTTAAGAATTATATGCAAACCTGTATTAAACTTTTAAGTGTTATACTTTATATCATTGACTTTCTCCCCTGTCATTTTTTAAATTTACCGTGATCTTTCACCAGCACCCCCATCCAATGACGTGTGCTTGGAACCTCTGGCATCACTAGGGAATAGCAACTCTTCGAACATCAGCAATGTTAGCACAGCTAGCATAAACTCTTCCAGCATCAATATAACTAGCATGAATGTGAGCAGTTTAAACAGCAGCATTACTACAAACTTGAACAACAGCATTCTGAACACAAGCACTCTCAGTGGTGTAACTGGTGGAGGTCAGTGGGCTGGAAGCAACATGCCTACGTCTCCTCCTACAACTGCTGTTTCCTGGGGTTCGCCAGCTCTGCCCTCCCGAGCAGCACACATACCAGCCCAAGCCCCTAGCCCCAATCCCACAGGCTTGGTAGGGTAAGTGTCATTTGATATTCTAGATTATTGATATTGAGGAGTTAGTGAAGAAATGTGAAATGTTAACCACACCAAATTTTTGGTGAAATTCATGCTGTTTCTAATAAAATTAAACAAAATTAATAATATTTCAAGTTGTGAAATTCAGTGTATCAGATTTGCTTTCTTACCTCGGAACTACTGTCAAATTTGCATATAGTGAAAAAAACATATGTGTTTGCCTTTACATGTTAATTAATATTCCATTATAATGTGCTTTAAATTTGTGAAATAAGGCTCTCTTTACCTTCCTGTCTGATTGAAACTTTTCTTGAAGTTTTTGTTTTTAAAAACTTATTACTTTTAACATGTTGCCTCAGTAGGGCCTACAGTGGAATTACTATGGTACTCCAAAATTATCTTTTCCTCTCTTTTATCTTTTCCCTTTATAATTTTAATTTATTTAACTTAAGTTTTAATTTCTCTTACTAGGGGCTGATTAGCTTCTTACCCCTGACAAAAGATTGAATTTAAAACTAGTGGAGCTACAATAGCACATAAACTCTTGCGTTATTTGTGACATTTGCAATTTTCCAAAATTCAGAAAGATCTGCACCTTTTTTCAAGCATCATTCTATGTGCTGAAACAAAATAATGAAACATTTGGAGCTATTTTTGAGAAAATTTTTTAAAACGTTTTGGATTCATGTAAAATACCCTCAAAAATCAAAATATCTATTTCAAATTTTCAAAGACTTGGAAGACTAAGAACTGGTTTCTGTATTTTCGAAATTTGTAAAATATTAAAATGGCAGAGCTACAATATAGATAATAGATATTTTTCCTTAGTAAAATCTGTTCAGAAAAATATATCTTTAAATAAGGCCATGTACAATTTTTTGAAAAAACAAGTATTTTTCATTGTGTTGTAAATCTTTCTTTGGTTCTCTTCTTGCGTAGTATTTGACAGGTTGGACTGCTTCATTCAACCGGATGATGAGGTCATACAAAGCATGGAACATGTAATAAGTGGTTTCAAGATTGTAAATAAATGAATATGTGTTCTAATTGAAACATTTAAAATATATGTGTCTATAACCTATGAATGAAGCAGTCATATACTTTTCATGTAATTTTTGCTTCGAGTAAGGGTAATTTTTCCTTTTTTTTTTTTTTTTTCTCAAAAGGCTCTAACTTTCTTCCTTAAACATTTTCTTCAGATAAAGTACTGGATACATGTCACAGGTCTGGTTTTTTTAACTCTGAATTTTCAAAACTTGCTAAAGTTACAAATAATGGAAGAAAGTATGTGTTGTATCACCACTAGTTTTCTCCAGGAGCTCTTCTGGTAATTTGAGCATTTTTGCAGTTACTGAACACCCAGAATCATGGGGTTCAAGACTGCCTAATAAGAAATTTGCAAAATCTGGAAAACGTTTGGTTGGTAAACCATGTTTATTGAAACATACCTACTTGATATTTCACTCTTGATTCTTGAAATATTCTGATTAAATTTTTACCATGCATCAGATGCATTAAATGGAAAGAAGTAGCCTCGCTTCTTTTTTATTTTCAGTGTAATATTGTATTTTTATTCCTGAAATGAAAATTAACGCTATGTCAGTAGAGACAAAACAATTATTGACTTCTTTTCAAGATTTGACATTCTGAAAAAATATGAAATAGAGTGATCATTTTATGTTTCATTTAGTGTTAATCTTGGTCACATAATTATTATATATTTTTTTGTTATTGGTAAACACACTCTTAGCCTGTTATCAATCAACCATCTGAACACCGCATTTAGAGTGTGCTTATAGTAACGGCTGTTAAAATGCTCGAGAGCCCATTAAAACTGTTTTAGCAGACTCTTGGATTTCGATTTTTCCACAATTTTTAACTCGTGAAAGTGTTAAATGTTTATTTGGAATAACTGGAATAAGTAGAAATAATTTAAAAAGCCAACATTGTTTGTAACACGTCTTCTATTAGTCTTTAAGGACTTGTTACAAAAATAACTATTATTTAATGAATTGCAGGACTGAAACATGTTAAAATATTTGTAGCAATATTTACCTTAGTTTGATTCGGTTTGATCTGACCAAGTTGATATTGAAAACTAGAAGAAAAACAAACATACAAAAAAATTTCATTTGTCAGCCAAATCACATAGCAGTACTTAATTGTGAATTATATCTACATAATCTATAAAATTCTACTTATAATATTGTTTATATGTTCATAATAAACATTGGTTAATAAATTGAAATATAACGTGCTAGCTTACAATTTTTAAAAATACTTGTTATTTTGTGTTACTCTTATTCTGAGGTTCTCAATCCATGTATTATGTACCCTCTGAAATACATGGTAAGCTTGTAGAGGGTATGTGAACAAATTCCATTGAAGAGAAATTACTGATTTTCTATTGACCATGAATAGATACACACATTTTTTTAAATTTATGGCCATGGTTTATAAAAGTGAATTTTATATTTTTTTATTATTTTCTGTGTGAATTTAAAATAATTTTTCTCTCTGAATTGGCTTTGTTCCACTTGGTTGTAATTATTTACAAAGAAAATTTAGCCACAATATTTTAACCCTCCATGAAAGGAAATTGCAATTTAGTTATACTTTAAACTTTCATTTGCGAGGGTACACACTTTCAAATATTTGAGAATCTCTTCTCTAATTCATGTTTTAGCTTTAAGAGAAAAACTGTAGTTCATTAAAGTTTCATTATATTTTATATACCTGATTACAGGGGAGTTACTCCAGTTGTGGTGAACAGCGAGTTGCCACGACCTGATCAGTGGTTGGGCAGTGTGGTGAATTCAACTGTCGGATCATCATCTCCCTCACCTTCTCCACGTCGAGCTCCACCTTTATCGCAGCATCTGCGTGCTCACTCTCTCAGCTCAGCTGAACCTTTTCTCTCTCACCACAATGCTAATGGCCAGCCTGTGACTGGCCATGATCCATTTGATGCAGAATGGGCTGCAATTGCAGCTCGTAACCACCAACAAAGTCACCCAGCTCCTCCAGTTTCAGTCAAGAGCACGAATCCATTTATTTCAACTTCAGTCAAGGCATTTGAGGTGCATATGTAAACGAGAAGCCTGTTGTCAGTGCTTCAAAATTGCATATTTTAATAAAAAGTTTTTATGTAGATAAATGACTGATGTTATAAAAATGCTGAAGTAAAATGTGCAAGTTCACTTGGTAAATGAAATACAGAATACATTTGTAGAGGAACTCTAAGATCATTGGCTATTGATTCTAGGAAAGAGATTGAGAAAAATCCTATTTAATTCTCATCTTTTACTATGTGCTAGTGGTAATAGCAGTTTAGTGTCTTTTAGTGATGTAAAGTTATTCTTGTGCTCTGCTACATTGGTGTTCTAAAATTTTGTTGCTTGGAGGCATATGATGGTATACGTTTCTCATGCCTTTATGCTTGACTAGGTGAACTTGCATATATTTCTGCATTGTGTCCTATGAATATGTTTATGTATTATTTTTTATAATACAGAAAATGTTGATATTAATGTATCTTGCATTAGTCTTGGCAGAGAGGGGATATAGAATATGTGCAATGAATTCTGAGGAAGATATGTATTTAAATCAGGCTACTTCTTTCCTCTTTTTATGACATAATGTGATGAACTAAGAATACCACGAAGAGAAGATGCAGTTTCGCTGTGAAAGGCCGAACATACAAGTCTTTGTTATGTCTTTTAATTCTGTGTTCTTTAACTTTCTTTCTTACTCTGTTCATAATCTCATGAGAATATTGTTGGACATGAGATGAATTCAGATGTTTCTCATACAGAATTATTAATAAATATTGAAGAACCTACTTCAAGTTGTTATTTTTCACTCCAGAGTGATTGCTTGACATTTACTTGAAAACTGGTATTTTTTTGATGTCAGTCTAAAGAATTATGACAACTGTTATGACAAATGACATAATAACCATTATTTACAATTTAAGACTAAACCATATTTGAAATAAAACAAACTTCATTATTACAAATGTAACATAGTAATGTTAAGAACAATGCACTACTGTAGTTCAAATATGGAAACTAGCATGTCTAACATCAGAATTGTGCCTCATTGTGATGAATACATCTCAGACGAATACATTTTATGCCTCAAGTTTCAAGTAAAATCAGTCAATTATTCTGTAGTGACATATTATAGACTAAGGTCCCAGACTAGGTCTTATTTGAAGTAAATAATTACAAAAAGGAAATATTAAAATTCATTTGAATAACAGTTGTTAAAACAATTTTGGTGCAATTTTCATTGTTTGGATTTGATGACAAACCTTGTTTTTAATGAAGGTGCTGACGTAGTGATACGAGTGAGTGTATATAAATATATATGTATATAAGGAAATGTTGTCCCAAGAATCTCTGATCTCATATAATGTACATAATTGCATGGAATGTATTGGTTATTTGAATGATGCTTGTGAATTTTATTGGCTGAATGCAAATATGTACGGGCTTGTGTAAATAGTTGTACATATGAAGGTATGTACTGAAGCATGTACAATTGTATGTGTGAAAATATGTACATATGTTGAGAATGCTTGGTGGATATAGAACAACAGCTTTGTTTTTAGATTATGCTAGGGGTTTAGTTATTTTTAGATAATTAAATGATATTGATAAATTAATCATAAAACATACATTTTACAAAATCTTCAACTATATAATTATATTCCATCACAAGTACATTAATCTTAACGTTGTAAATAAGGAAGTTTCGTAGGACAAGCACCCTTGATTGGTGATGTATTTCACACTTACACCATTGACATCCCCATATGAAAACCTTTTATTCATTGTTGTTCATGATTGTATAGAAAGAATTTTTCTTTTCTTTCTTCTTTTGATTTTTTTTTTCTTTCTTTCTTTTCTTTTTTTCTCCATTAAATAAAGTCATTAAATAAGAAATCTTCTAGGTTAAAAGTTAAGTTCAGTACTAATTTTGAAAAATTATTAATTATTTGAAAATAATTATATAATTAAAACATTCTTGTGGCTCACTCAGTTTAAATAATTTATTTAGAATGTGGGCTTTAAAGTGGAAAAATTTAACTAGCTCGTTTAAATATGCATTCACCTTATATGTAATGAATTACATCTGTATTTTGTGTATTCATCACATATTATCTAATATTAACTCACCGAATTTATTGTTTAATTGAGGGGGGAAATCATTTTATTTTTTCAAGCATGAGCCTGTAATACCAATTCAAGCATATGTTATTTTTTTAATAAATGTGTAGGGGAAAATGAAATAAACTGTATTGAACAAACTTTATATTTTTATGTCTGTTAGGAGTAACTCTTACAGCCAGTTAAGGACTACTTTATAGATTTGTACAGTACAGCCAAATTGTGATTTCATTGTTTGGGCGTACCTGTTGCAGCTCTTAGTGTGTTTTTAAATTTTAAATATAGGGATTGTCATGCTGTTCTCTGATTGATTCATATTAGAAGTGAGGCAAAACAAAAACAGGGGGGGGGAGAGAAAAAATTAATAAAGATTTACAAATTTCACCTTCTTAACTAAAAATACATTCTCTTCTTTTTGTTTTATCTTTTGAGTTGTCCTCTTTGATTCTTTCCTAATTTACAAAGTAAGAGAGAAACATCCCTTAAGAATGGGTAACAATACCATCTTTCTTTTATCAGTATATAATAGTAAATATTTGGGGTTAAAGATGGCCAGGGAATGGTGCTTATCTCATCTGTCTAGTGCTGAAGGCATCAAAAAGATGGAACCCTAACATCCATCTCCCCCATTACCCTTGTGGGTTGTGTGTGTAAGCACAGGAATCTTTAACATTTTATAAGATAGTAATAATTTTTGTTGGAGCAAAGTCTGATTATTGAAACTGCACTATTAAATGTGATTTGTATTTTTTGATATGTGTACAAAATTCAGTAATTCTGCGGCACTCTCCAAAGAAGCTGATTTCTGTTTATTGTTATTCAGCTAGTTGAATGGCAGGGAAGTTTTTCTCCCTACGAGACAATGAGGTTCACTTTTTAGCAAGCTTGAGGTTGTAAGTTTAATAACTGCTAAAAAGATTCATACTGTTACATGTAATACACAATCCAATTACTATATTATTTTCCACAAAAATGGTACTTCGTATTTTGCCTATGACCATGAGATTCATGTGCTAATCATGAAGTTTGAATGAATATGAAACTAACCCAAAATAAATTCTTTTAATTTCATACTCTATAATTTACTAACTATTGGAAGAAAAAATACAAAATCTTTTCAGAAGATTTCGTCAAAATTATTTTAATCTGATGTTGAAAAGACCATTGTTTTAAAATGTATTGAATTCATGTATTAAATGTAACTCCTTGAATTCATGTTTGCAGGAAGTAAAATTCACTTTCTCATGAGAGATGAGATGAACATATTTTTGGAGCAACTTTATTTCATTGCACATGTAACATCCCTTGTAAATCGTCAGTAATTTTACAGTTTCTTGCAAAAGAAATGTAAATATACCTTCAAATATTAAGAAAGTTGGGCAACTTGTGTGTGCATGTGTTGGTTGATAAAGAATGAATTGCATCTCCAGTGAAAAATATATAAATTTAATACCTATAGGGAGAGAAGTCATACAGTGATACATTCCATAATGTTATTTCCATATCTTTTAAACTTTGAATTTCTTAGAACTGTGTGAGTGAAGAAAATGGGTCTCACACATGGAATTTCAGAATTTTAAGTGAGAAATTTGTGCTGGTGTGTTTATACTCCGAGTTTTGATGTGAAGGAATGTTCCACTTTTGTGGTCATTTCAGTGTCTTGTGTGCACAGAAACCATTATTTTACATACATATTTTGTAATAAGAGTATTATGTAAGTGCAACACTTACACACACAAAGGACCAGACTATTATATTACACTTAAGAAGAACTTTGGCCATGTAGTTCACAAAATAGGGCCACAATAATCAGCGATGGTTAATATGTAATTTGTTTGTTAAATAAAAATGGTAGGAACAGTGATAAATTAATTTAACTTCTCTATTATTTCAAAATAATGTAATTATAAAAATAAAAATTATTCCGTTTGTTAATTAGCTAGTATTACATTAAGTAGGTAATGTACAAACACAAGTTTAAAGTTTTCTTTGAATGTTACTTAAGCCTTGAAATGTGTGTTAATAGGTTGTGGTACAATTTCTTATTATTTGAAATGCATTCTCCATTATCTTTTGTGGACAAATTTCTGTAATATTGCATTTGGTAGAAATAGTTTTTTACTCTACTTTTTTGATGAATAATTCTTTTTAGTTCACTGGATGAGGTTCGTGGATTAATTAACTTTCTTATGTAGTGCAACTTCTTTAAGTTACACACTTCCAAACTCAATATGTTATTAATTGTACAAAGTTTGTTGTTAACTACAGTCTTTTAGGCTGAAATTCATAATAAGAATACGATATATTTATCTGTACTCTTCTTTGTATTACAATTGAATTTGTATTGACTCTTTAAGTGGAACATTTTTGTACATAATCATTGTGTGTATTGTGTAGATATGACTTTATCTACACATATGCATATGTGCATTTTCCTCGGTATATGTATTTAGATATGAACATAAATTGTAAATGCCTGTGTAAATGAGTGCATAAGTGTTCACTTGCAAGAATATTTGCAAGCAAACATACAGATAACATTACATTGTATGGTTGTTGATAATTAAACATATAACTATTACTTAGATTTGGGCTACTTTTGTTGTGTCTTTCGTCTGTCACATTAGTACTTGCTTATTTCCTCAGACGTCATTGCACATTCTTGTTTTGGAAATAATTTCTGTCCCCCTGAAACATTGAGAAGTTGAATGAGAGTGCTAAATTGTAATGAACGAAAATTTTTGTTGTATCATTGCTGAGTAAATTTCAAACTGCTCAGTGTTGCTGTCTGCTATCAGCTGACTGTATGTGTTATAATGGTATGTAGTATTTACCTGCACAGTTGACATAAATGACAAAAGTTGGTATCAAGCACAAGAGACCATAGGTCTCTGCTATGTCTCGAGCACAGAAGTGCTACAGACATTGTGTATGAGGCACAGTACTTAATTATCCACCTCCAGCTGTACATGTCTCCACCAGCTTGTGAAACTGAAGATGTGTGCATGTCTAAGAAAAATGTGATCTGGTGAGTGTGTGCTCTTGGTGTTGGTTGTTATCTCTTTGTTTTATTTTATTGTAATTTTTATTATTAAAAAAGAAATTTATCTGCTATGGTCGAAATATAACAAGGAGAGCAGACTGTATCCAAAACAGTTATTCCTTTGCACAAAACATGTTAGTAGGTCACAGGTTATTTATTACTTCTGTATCACTTTAAATGAACTTTAGAAAAAATAGTATGAAGTTCCAAATAACCAAACAATTGTGAGATGAAATATTGTGTAATGTTACATAGCTTGTAGTATAGTGCTATTGTGTTAACAACTGTATTTAGGTGATACAACAAGGGACTCAGAAAATTAACCATATCATTCCTTCACTGATTGTGTAAAGAAGTGAACATAGCTATGGAAATTGTATTTAAAGACCTGCCCTCGTATGTGTGAAACTGTTGTGTGCCTATGATTTAGGCATTGTGATAGGTTATCCAACTGTATGAGAGCAAACTTGTGATAAATCAACTAGGGCTTTGTATCAAGTTCACTTTGTTCTGTGTATTAGAAGACAGTCTTGCTGTTTATTGCCAGATTGAAATTGCTGTCAAAAAAATAATAGTTTGTATATACACTGTAGTTATCCTATTACGTTACTGTCCATTCTCTTATGGCCAGTTTGGCACTGGATTTTGTGTCTAGATTGGTTTTTCTTTTTCACACACATACACACACTGTGATTTTAATTGTTGACAATTAACATGAATGTAGACAAATGACTATTGCGAGGATGCCATTGCAATGTACTTAATGTGTATTGTTAAATTTACCAGTCATTTCTAATGCTTACTCAGCCTGCTATGTTTATGTCCATTCATTATTTTTAGTTAGACATAAGGTATGCAGAAAATTGACAGTATTGTAATTTTCAATGGGTATTTGAATTTTCTTTACTGCTTTGAATATTTGTTATTGTACAAGAGTATTAATAATTTTAAAGGAAGCACATGTAGCAAATTAAAATGACAGTTTCCAGATAAAAATTTCTTGACTAATTCAAGTTGCTGCAGCTCCCATCTTGCCTTGCCACATGCTTCTTGAAATGTGATGTGATCTTGTCAGGCAAATAGAAATAGAATATACCACAGTTAAAGCTGTTTGATTTACAAATTATTTGCCCTGCTTATACACAATTTCTGTTATCCATTATTCCAGATTATTCCTTGCCTCTACCAAGAATTTTGAAGTAACAATATGTCTCTTAGGGGTTGTCCATAAATTACATAACACTGCAGGACAGGTTTGAGACAGCTCTACACTGCATTACTAAGAGATAGGTGTGTTAGTTTAGTGTGACATAACGCTGAGATTTATTTTTTATTATTTTTGCAATATTTACAGTACACCTAAGCAAAGAATGTAAAAGCAAGGTGGAAGATGAAGACTGCGTTCCTGTAATTGCAATAGACAGATATTTGTCAACACTGGAAGGATGATCCCTTAACATTTATTTTTAATTTATATAATCATATTATTTAATTTCTTTACTTTTTTATTATGGGCCACCACTGACCATACAACGCATTTCTCTCTCTGAGGCTCAGTTGTATTCTATCCTGGAGAGATCAACGTGTAGAATTACGGAGAACATCCTTTCAGCTGCATCTCTTGGTTAAGGCAAGGTTGTTAGCCTTGAATATCAATTAGGGGGGATAGGATGATAATATTGTTATTGGGTGATGATGAGGGGTGACAGGAGTGGGGATGATGATAGGTGTTAGGTGGGGCAGTGGGAGGTGTTTGTGGGCTTTTGGAACCATTCCAGTATTCACCTTGTGACTGAGGGAAACCACGAAAAATCCTGGTGATGATGGTCGGCATGGGGATCGAACCTGGGCGTCCTGATTTTGAATCCAGCACACTACGCACTGAGCCACTTTGCTTGGTTATTATAAACTTTAATATATAGTAAAAATAAAATTAATAAAACTTTGTTTTCATGATATGTAATTTACTTTTATGTATATAAATGAATGTCATAAATATATTTAAGACACAAGTGTTACTTAATTTTTTAGGGGGGTTAAAGCTTGTGTTTAATGCATTATAGGGTGGGGAGGGAGATATCCAAAACTCTCCAAATTTGGGTTATGTAATTATTGGATGAACCACAAATCTAAGGATTTACATGTTTGATAGAAGATCAAAATTAGTTTTGACACATTTTACAGTAAGTCATTGATGTCTTGTGCTTATTGTCTAGTTGTGTGGAAACTTTTCCTTTCAGGAATATATTTGGTTTTGGTTAATAGCAAAATACATTTTAAAAATAGTTATAAATTATATTTTATTTATTGGTGTCTTACTTTTCTATTTTACCTTTCTAAAATGATGTTATACTTCAGCTACAATCATTACAAAATTTTGGTTGTGGGTGTTTTGTTTTGAGAAGTTTGCAAGGAAGCACATTATATCCTGTCTCTCTTTGATAGCTTTCAAGGTTGAAATGTTGCCTCTTCATGTTTATTCTGGGCATTTAACCAATTGTACAGAGATTTTTTTATTTCATAGAACATATTTTGATGGTTGAACATTTAAACAAAATTTTAGTACTTTAATTTCTAATGCAATAAAAATTACTTAGTTAAATTTATCCTCTTTGTAATTTACTTGATTTAGTAATCATATTACTACTATAATTAATTACTCAACATAGTAATCATATTCATCAGGTGACAGTATCAACAGCTCACTACAAAAAATTCACATATAATACATGTACATTATTTTACAACATCCTTGCCAGATGACATTAACGATTAAATTCGATACAAAAGTTTTAAGTCCCAAGCAAAATTTTTTCTACTGTACAACTTTTTCTATACAATTAGAGACTACACAGAACATCCAAAAGGAAAGTAATATTAATTTTAACGTCATTTAGTGTATTATTTACCATTTGGGTTGTATAATTCTAAAGATCCTGTAACAACTATTGTACTTCAGCTTCTGGGTCAATGACCCCCATTGGGTCAGGTTTTCATCCACTTTCCCTGATCCTTGAGCTAATGCTGAGACTGCCCCTTGTTTTGATTCTGGACATAAATTTAACATTAAATTAAAGTCTTCTCATAGCACATCACACACAGTTTTTAACTGTTTTTTGACGCAAATAAATACTATAAGAAGCCTAAATGAATATATAAAATTCAAACATTTGCCTTTATTAAATTAAGGATACCCTCAATAAGTTGGTAAAAAGTTTCCTAAAATAAAATTATGTACGAGTAGAGTAACTATGTATCTAACATAAAAATAAGATTTTTGAAAGTTTCATTAGCTCTCTCCCATCACTACCCCTGAACAATCCAAAATGTGGTTTTCTTGTTATGTTTTTCATCAACTTAACATTCATTTTTTTTAAAACATGAAAATTAATAAAATAATTTATACTATAAGACAAGGGAGATCTTTTGTATTTTCTTAGTGCCATATGGAAACAAACAAAATAAAAAATAAAAATTACGATATCTTGCATGGGAACCTGCTTGAAAAAAATTAAAACATTCCTTTCAAAATACTGGTTGTTATGAATTGTTTCAGAGTTTTTTAATTACTGGGCCATATTAAAGAAAATAAAAACTATTCTTAACCCTTTTCCGCCTCTAAAAGCACTTATGATTTTAAATATATTTTGAAAATGACTGCAACACTTTTGTAAATTTATTTTAGTCTTTATTATACATTTGCATACATTGTTGAAGTACCTTAATACATTGATGGAGTACCTTACCTAATATTTGACCTTGAATACTTAGTAATTTAGCTACAAATTATCATACTTTCAATGCTTTATAATCTTTTGAATAGTACATAATGCACTAAAGAAAGATGACTGTTTTTGTCAGTTTATAAAAAACTACCATCACAAAACCCTGTAAGTCTGCTACTAGTAGTTAGGGAAGTATGCCCCAGTCCAGTCAATAGATTTTAGACAAAAAATAGAATTTTGCAGATTATGACATAGTACAAAACAAATTATTGCAAAGCACAGGCAACTTGTGGCAGGTCATGAATTTAGGGGGCCCAATTGGAATGTGGGGAAATGAAAGGGACAGGTGAGATCCGAATTATGTTTTTAGCTAGCATACCACAAAAAAACGACTTTTTTTAAGGTTCTTTTACAATTTTGCAGATGTAGTTATTTTGAGTGCCTCACCCCATGGTCAGAAAAATGAAAGATGAAATCTATGTAAAATTAAATTGAAGAGAAAATACTGAAAGAAAAAAAAAAAAACTTTCTCAGTAAAATGAAAGGGCCTATTTGATTTTGTGTGCATTTTAATCTCAATATTACATTGGTTTCTCTCGTACAGTTCAGGGCCTGTAATGCTGTAACACACTGTTCGGCGGATAGCCGCTCAAATTTGGGTTCTAAGTAAAAAAACAAAAAAAAATAAAATAAAAAAAAAATAACAAAGTGCAGTTTTCAGATTGTATTATACTACTTACAATATACAAGAATAAATACTCAGCTGAGGAGCCCCTTTCTCTAGTACGACACACTACAGATGTCTTAGTTTTATTTCTTTTAACAATCGCCCAGAAATCGATAAAAATCTGGGGGGGAATACAACTGGTGTTTTGAGATGAAGTTTTGAGATTTTTTTTGCCAGTTCCTAAGTTCTAAGACACTAAAAATTATTTTTGTTGTTTTTTCAAAAATATTTTTTGTATGAATTTCGCGCCGAGAAAATACGTTTAATGATAGTATGAATTATGAAAATTTAATATCAGCATTACTTAATACAAAACCATGACTCCCATACATATGTAATGCAGAGTTACGCTGCCTCTAATCCCCTCCCCTACTTTAGAGTTAAGTAATTTATGAATGATCCATAAATACCTTTACAGTATCGCATTTGCTTGCAAGCGACATATTCGAAACATGGTAAATGTATGTAAATTTTTTCGAAGATCGCGGGTAACGGGATTAACATGTGGAATCACATGACAAGAATCGGCACCGGTGCTGCAGTTGTGGAAGCCCTTGCTACTACTTGGAATTCTTAAAACGCGACTTCTATTTGCGCTTTAGGAGCATGTTTGTGCACCATCACCACCGCCACTACTAAACGCATGGATGTAAATGGAGTCAGTCATGCACTCAAAATATTAGTCATTAATATCATGTCTGACAATTCCAGTCTTGGGACAATCTTGGGAGTGCTGTAGTGAACAATTTAAGAGTTCAAAAACACTGTATACAACTAGTTATTTTCCAGAAAAAATATTGTTTGTAAAATAAACCTAAACAGCAAATGAAGTTACTTGTATGTTAATTGTGTCTTATGTGTAATGTCATAAGTGAATTTTCATAAAACTCTCTTTATAAAGGACTCAAATTAACAAACATCCCAAATACTGTTCTCATGGAATTCGTTAATTAGAGTATTCTGTGTTTGCTTAGGAAAGCATCTGATGACTAATTTTTAATTATATTAATGGATCACACCTTTACTTTGAATACTACACCCTTCTTTGAATCACACCTTTACTTTTGTAACAGGCGTTCTCTACTCTTTCGATTGATTTTCGGAATTTTCACCGTACCCTCTTGAACATGGCACCTATTCGATGATTTTTTTTAACCAAGTAGGTTTGTATTATAGAAGGCTAAGGGATTTAATTAAAAGTTTGATTAATCAAACCAACCAACCAACAAGGTAACTCTCAGTACATCGACATATATCCGCTCGTACAAATGAAAATGTTTTTATTGCTCATCAATGTAGTCATGTGTATGTTGTGTGCATGCAAACAAAATTAACAAATTTTCTGCTATAAGCACTATATCAAATAATAAATTGACGTTTCATTGAAACGTGTATTGGGTTTCTGTCCCTGTAACGCTCATTGAAGCTTTCTCCCCGTAATAATTACGCATACTTACGTTCTAAATAATTACGTAATTGTTTACGCTTGCGTCAAAATCCAAACATTTACAATTTTACAAATAATTGATGTAACAGTTTGTATTCATTTCATTTCTGTAATTTTGAAACTTAAAAACTTAATTTTGAGTTGAACATAAAGTCAGAATTATTTGGCAATGCTGACTGTTTCAAACAACAAGATGAGGGTCAATGCTGTAGTGAAGGAAGGATGTCCAGGCTAGAAAATATGTGGCATCAGGCAGTGCACACGCCGTCGCGGATGACGCATAGACGAGTCAATTTTATTGTATACTAGAATGTACTATAGAACAGCTTTTAATCCTTTCTTCTTAATCCAACCGAATCAATAACTGGAGAAAAATACTTACATTTATTGTAACTATTTATATATCATACATTTTTAATATTTGTTTTATATTACATTATCTAATTTATTTTATATTTTATTATGCGGCGGCGATGGTGTAACGGTTAGCGTATCGGACTGTCTGGAACTGTTATACCCAAGTTGGCGGCTTCAAACTCGATCGAAGCCGTGGATTTTTAAGGCCGAAAAAATCCTTCGTGCGCCTTTCTTCGGAGGGGAAGTAAAGCTGGCTGTCCCATGTTAGTAGATATACTTGCATGTAAAATACCCTCAAGCCTAAATGACGCCTCTGAGCGAAAGTAAAATTGCCTGTTTCGTCGCCCAAAAATTACCTCCTTCCTTCGCTAGTGGGTGAAAGGAGCGTAACGAAATTTGCGTGGTCAGGCGGAAGAACGGGCCTCATGGCCCGAGTCTCGCCAGGTAAAATAAGGCATCAATTCAATTATATTTCAAACTTTGACGTGGTGTTAAAAGGAATTATGTCTGATGTTAAAAAAATAAAAAAGTAGCAGCATTATGTAACACTAAACTAACACCCTTCTACCCCGATGTAACGCACCCTCTTCAGCATTCCCTTGCATCTCTTTTCAAAATACGCGCTCTGAGAATTTGTCGCAGCATGTGCTGCACTCTAGCAGTGCGTACAGCAAGCTCAAGCACATTAAAACTAAGCGATGCCAGTTGTGGATGAGCGCCTGTGATGGTCAGATGATAGGAGTGGGGTAGCGAGGATTGGATAATTGGGTGTAAAATGACGTGTGGTCGTGATTCTAGTTGTGCCTGCTATGTAGGCTTCTTCTATTTTTTGTACTTCATCAATATTGGAAACACACAACTTCTTATAAATGTTAAAAATCAGGTATTATGACTTATGTCAGTGCAGTATATTTTGGATATTTCTTTTTTACTGTATTGTTTCTGACAGGTGTGTTTTGAGGGGTAATATTTTTCTGTTGCATTAAAAGGATTAATGTGAAATTGTCTGATTAGCAAAAATAGTAGAGTTCAATATTTTTACGAGATTGATAGGAATTGAAGGTTATGTTGATCCTGTGTTGACAAGTGACCTAGGTATTTGTTGTAAGCTCATCACTTGTTCGTTCTCCTCAGACGGCTTCTTCAAGAGTGCATCTTCACGTTTTCTGTCGAATAGAGCAAGTGTAAAAGATGCGAATAATGTGCAATATGTCTCTTAAAATTTCACTGTTCTTTGCTACTTATTGAAGATCAACTTCACACACGACAATTTTCCTTGTGTTGTTTACATCGGTTTTTGATGATTGTAATATTTCCATTATAATTATTTACCGCTTTTATTTATGATCATACCGCATGTACGTGTTTGCTGTAATATGCAACATTTTATTACAACAATTTGTTATCTAATTTGGAACCCCATATCAGGTGCACGTTTATTTATATGCATTCTTTTTTATTTCAGTTTTTAGTTTACATTATTTGCACTTATAGCGTGATAATTTGAGAGTAATAATTGTGAAATAGCGATGAGTGCTGGGGTTGAAGCAGTATCCAAAGTGTATACACATTTGCCCTCAGATGCTGTGTTATAAAATTATTGGATAATTTTAATGTTTAGCGCTTACTATTTATTTACAAAAGGGTTGTTTGATGTCATCCATACGTACACAACGACTTAAATCCCGTACCTCAGCATTAATTGTCAGTGATATTGTTTGTATTCCAGCTTATTGTGAAATAATTTTTGGATGATTATGTGTGTAAATGTTTTTAAAATAATTTTTTTAAAACCGGTAACAACGCAATGAGTTATCGGTGTAAGTACTTTTGTGGGATGCAAACCTTTGTGAATAAAAAGTGGTCTACTTCATTGATATTTTATATTAATGGTCATCATTATTGTGTATTTCGAGCTGTCACATGGTATTTTCTCGTATAATTTACAAATGGGGAATTCTTCACATATAATTTACATTCATATATTACAAATGGACACAGCATCATATGGATTGCAGACAAAGTGAGGATGTAGGCAATTTTTTTTACCTTCACTTCGTGTTATTTTTATTATATAATGTAGGCATTGTTGGTCGTCAGTTGAAGAACGAGAGTACACAAGCAGTATCACACTGAAAGTGTCTGTTTGTTAAATTGCGAAGACGCAATGTGTTGTGGTTTGGTCGAAGTGTAAACTTTGGCGTGGTTCCGTGTGGAGTAACATTTCGTCGGCGGTCGATGTGCGTGTGAAGACGTTACGCGTCCAAGCGAAAGAAAAACACAACTGCGCGACGTGAATTAGCGCTGGCACGTGCGCGTGCCTATCGCGGATACCACGACGCCAACGAAGACGTGTGGTATTGATTCCGGCAGATTCCCGGCTGTATGAGGTAATGTTTCGGCCACCTGTCACCTGGGCAACGTCCAGCGATCGCCTTCACCGGCCACGCGTTGCAGCGGAGGCTGGAGCGCAGTTAGGGTCGTGGTTCGATTCTTCGTTTCTCATTGGCCAGCAACCGGAGAGCGGGTGGTCGACTTGAATATTTGTGTCCAAACATGTGACTGATAAATTGAGATTTAATTTTTAAAGGCTCCCATCAGATGAGGTTCATGGGCTTCGCGCTACGAATGTCATCGATTCTTCGAGTAACTAATAATAGCTTAAAAATGAAAACTGTTGAATTGGTAAATATATTAGTGTTTTCGTAATTATCTCGTTCTGCTACAGGGCATTGTAATGTCCTTATATTGTATTATAAAGCTTTTTAATGCAGGTGTACAAATCAAATACAAATGTACATTATGTCCAATTCATTTATGTCAATTTCATTCATTGTGTTGGGGGAGTTATTATCAAAATACTTCGATGTTTCATTTCTGGGTGCCAACATAGGGTGTATTGCAGGCTTTTTTGAGACTTGATTGGGAGAACTTTCCTTTGAAATCTATTGAGATTGATTGTTTCCGGCACGTCGACTACTATGGCCATTAAACTTATTAGTGTAATGAATGTTGTATTCCGAGAGACGGCGAAGATTCCGTCCCCGCTGGATGCTAAGACGTAGGGCAACCGACACGTGAACTTGTGGGGAAATTCCTCTCCCGGTATCTCCCCCAGGGGGGGGGGGCACCATTCCATTAGAGAAGCTCTAATCTCCCGACTCGTCTTCCGAGATGTGTGGCAGTGTAGTACATATACATTTCTCATCCGTCAGTGTAATGGTAAACGATAGATCAAAGAAGACGAAGACAATATCGCGCGCGGTCCATGGCCCATTTGTGAGGGCACTGCTCCGGCATTCATATGGTATAGATCGGAGAAACCACGGAAAGTTATCGATTGGAACAGCCCGCCGCTAGTGTTCTCCAGACAGCGGCTGAATTCTTCCTAGCTATGTAACTAGTGACGAAAAAGCGTCAGCATCCGAACTCGAACTCTGGTATCTTTCGGACAGAGTCGCTGCCGCGACAGCGGCAATGCTCAACTTAACTCAGCCGGTCATCCACTTGGAACAGAGTTTAGGTCGACGTTCTTCACTGTAGCATACGCTGTATTGCGCTAATTGTTGAAAAAACTATTTTCACAGTTATTTTTCAAGTATGATATGTTATTGCGTCCATTTGAGCACATTTTACTCGTATGTCGATTTTTAAAGATAATCTGTTAAGTTATTGTAAACCTAGGACCGTACGTTTACCATATTTGTTATTCATATTATGCTCACTACATTTAACATATTCATACTACGTACTAGTCTTTTGTTAGGTGCAAATCGTTGCCGCCATTTAACAAGAACCTACGATTAATTACATCCCAAATATCGATAATACATTGACTTAGGAATTGAAGAGCTTATTTTCAAAGTGACTTATCTTTATTTCCTTTTTCGTAAGTTAACGTATCAATACGTTGTATTAAGACGCTTCTCTCTTATGCTGCCAAATATTTTGTTAAAAATAACGTTTTTTCTATGTTAAATGGTGTCCGAGAAACGTCGAATCTAATCTTATAATATTAGGTTGAATTTTAATTATTGATCTTCCTGAAAAATTGTATTTCTTGGAGATACTCCACTTTGTAAATAAGCGTATCAATTAAATTATGCTTGATGAAATTGATATTTGAAGAACGAGAAATACTTTGCGCTATTTACTGGTATGGTGCACAAGGAGGCCGATTAAAATGAGTGAGAACACCAGTCAAGGGCTCTCCTTTCATGAGTGGGATGTAGAGTGGAGGAGGCTTCTCCGAATCACTGCATTTTGCTTACTGGCCTTCCTTCGTAAAAAAAGTATTGTAATCGTGCGGCGGAAATTGTCAATTTTTCGGCAGAAAACTCTTATCGTCGGGCCCCGGTGTCGAAAAACTTAATAGATCTTGTTGTAGCATTCGTAGTAAAGTACTTGTGGCGCGTTGTTTAGTCAAAATCCAGGTTTTGAGAGTCCCGGGCGTCTATTCGCCAGTCCATCTCTCCGCCCGCCCGTCTGTCCGCCCGTCTGTCCGCGCGTCTATCCATCCGCCCATCACTTCGTCCGTTCAGACGATTTTACTTTAAAATTATTGTGATTGATTTGAAGAAACTCTTAGGCCTTGCGCGTGTAAACTATTTTGATTTCTGGGGATACTTTACATGAAGTATCTACATTTTAAAAATTTTGTCACTACTGGCTTCAAGTTTTTTCGTTAAACTTTGTCCTCGGATAGCGTGAAGAACACTTAAAAATGGCGCGGGATTCATTTTTGGTAAAATACCTCATTTTTGGAAAATTGCAAAGGTTTAATTTTTTTTCGCCGTCTTCCTACAACTATAATACAGAAGATATTTTTTTCGTAATGAAATGTGTTGTTCAATGACAGATCTTTAAATAAGGTCATGTACAATTTTTTGAAAATGAGTATTTTTCATGTAATTTTGCGTGAAATATAGGCAAAATTTAATCGTCGCAAAAACGGCTTCAGTTTTTTTCTTTTAATATTTCCCCGGTATATTCCAAAGGATGTTGAAGAACACAGGCTGGTTTCAATTTCGATGAACTCGGTATTGCAAAAAACATTGCAATAGTACAATATTGAAGATAAGAATGTTTGTCTTAATTGAAATGTTTTAAAAATCAGACCTTTCGAGAAAGGTCATGTACAACTTAAAAAAATAGTACTTTCTGCTTAATTTGTGCTTGAAATCAATGCAATATATAAGGAAAAACTTTTTCTCCAAAAACGTTACACTTTTTTTCTTTAAATTTGTTCAAAGGATAGAGCAAAGGAAGCATAAACGAGTGACGCAAATCTCGATTTCATTGGTCTGTGAATTTTCGAAAATTACAAATGTTAGACGAAATACGAGAACGTATGTGATGAAGCATCACTATTTTATTCTTCATCTAACGCTAACTCTGTTTATTTTGAATATTTTGCCTCAGGAAAACGTCTAAAAATACAATTAAGTTTTCCGTGTCTCATCTTTTTCGAAAGCCTAGTCCCCGTTGTAGAGTTAGATCGTCGAGGTGTCTGCGGTCGCAAACTACTCACGGGTGCACGTGGGTAGAAGCGTCGTATGATGCATTTTCTACGTATTGCAGTCTGCGCTTGATTACTGATAGTGAACTGTTGAAGTTGTTTGTCACTGATCATGCCGGCCAAATTTAGCGGATGACTACAACTTTTTCGTTGTTTATCTTTCCAGTTGAACATACATGAATGGTGGTATTTTCATGTAGTTTCGTTGTTTACATATTTTTGTTTAGATGCACGGAGGTGGTCTTGGGGCATGCGGAATGTATTGTCGAAGTCGTTTGAATTTGGTCATTTGTTTGGCTTACGTTTGTACCTGAGTGAGTGAAGATTTGTTGTAAATACAGATTTCAAGACTTTTTTTATTCTCACATCATACAGTTTATGATTAATGAGTATTATATTTGTATGGGATGAATCTGATTTCCACCGACAAACTTCGGTTGAGGATAGAGGTTTACACGAAAATGGATTTTTCTTTTTCGGAAAATCAAATTTCAAAACTCCTTTCATTCCTAAGCAATGGCACACGGACTCGGGGACAGTGTGGTGGATGCGAGCTCTTGTCAATGACGCTCAGTGGTCCAGTGCATGGGAATGAAGAATCCTAAATGACGAGAAAAATGTTTTTCAAAGTTCATTTGGGGGCACGTGTTCCTAAGAGCGTCGCTACGCCACGTGCCCTCAGAAGTCCCTTCCCGAAGTGCGTGTAGAGATCAGATTCGTCTATTTGTGCGGCTGCGAATGACGCTGGCGCTTGTTCGTAGGGCGGGGACGTCCTGCAAGAAACCATCGCGGCCAACGTCAGCGAAGACGCCGTCACCCTGGAGTTCCAGCGCTCGGATGGCACCCTCGTCACGCAGCTCGTAGACTTCCGGAACGTAAGTGCGACGCTCAGTGTTTGACGCAGGAAGTTTTAATCGAGCTTTGGTCAGAACATTTACCGGTGTAATCAATTTGTTCTTTCTCGCTACGATGTTATACTGCGGCGAATTTTCGGTAGAAAAGCTCTTATTACAGGGCCCTGCTTATGAAAAATTGGAAAAATCGAGTGGCTAAATTTAGAAGAAAAAAATCTTGTTACATACTGTTACTTATAGTTAAAATCCATGTTTTGTGGGTCCTTCATATCGATAAGTCGAATGACGGCAAATCGACTGTCCGTCTGTGAACAACAATAGCGGCTAAACCGTTCAGCCGATTTTCTTCAAAATTGATATTCCCTGGCTGATGTCGCGGCCCCTTGAATTTGATACCGATATTTTAGTTTTGGGGGTACTTTTCATGAAGCCCTAAGGAAATTTTCCAAATTAAAAAAAAAATGGCTCAATTTTTTAAAATTATTTTTCTTGTTGGATTGTGTGAAGGACGTTTAAAAGAATGGTGCAAGTCTCATGAACCCGGATGTTTTGAAAATTGCAAAAGTTCAATTTTTTTCGGTGTCTTCCCACAGTTAAAATATTAAAGATAGAGATTTTTGCCCTGAAAGAAATCTGTTCCTTAAAGATAGATATTGAAATAAGGTCATGCACAATTTTTCGAAAATTTGAGTACTTTGCGTGCAATTGTGCGTGGAAGTACGGAGTAGTAAGTACGTGCTGTACTAGCACCAATGGTTTAGGTTTTAATGTACTTCAACCAAAACACATAACATTAGTAGAATACATTTCTTTCAGTTCTCCAGGTCGTCTTGATGTTTTGTCGCTTCAGATTACTACTGTTTTACGATCTTTTCCCACGAACTGAACACACCTGTTCGATTGAACCGGTGGCAGACAATTTTTCGTAATTGTTTAGCACGAACATTAATTCGTATGCCACTTGTCTACCAGATATCGACGTTACTTCAATATTTTATATTGTCTCTATCCCCGGCAATGTGCCTGAGAACTGGTGTCAGAAAAAGTTCTTTTCGATCATTGTAATTTGTACAATACGCACACATAGTTTCAGACGGGCCATTATACAAATTATTCTACTTTGCAAGGTTGAAGGTTCCTCGGGCACCACTGTGCCACCGACGGACGAACAATAATACTTTTGGTGTAGACCACAGATTTCCCTAAACATGTTACGGAACGTGGTTCTAAGATTGCTTTTTGTAACGACTGCTAGGAGTGTGGTTATCTCAAGCCATGGGATGTGATATCTTAAATTTTTCTGGGAATGTGGTAGTTAATGAAAAAGGGGAGGACGTTCCTCACCCCAAGGAGACAGTTGGGTGGCGAACAGGCGCTGATGGGCAAACGACAC